CAGTAATATCTTTCTTGAAGAGACAAGTTATTTTTCTCAAAAAGACACAACGGTCTGAAACGACATGTTTGAACAGAAGCGTTTACACCATTGTCGAACAGACGCGTTACTTTGCTGCAAATTGCTATAAATATGAGATTATTTTCGTTTTTCAATACACTGAAATTTTTTCCACTTTGTATATATTTTCTCTCAAAAATAAAATTATCGATCAACTGAGTCTGTGTGTGCTCTTATTACTGTTCTTGTGTTCGCTGAAGTTATTGAAGTTTGAGGTACCGCTACTTCTTTAACATGTTAATCTGTTTTATCTTGAGAGAAATCAATCTGCAATCTCGTGTACAGTAAGGGGATTAAATTTCTTAAGAAAATACAGTGATTTTTGTTGACTCGGATAAAAAATTTTCTTTCTATTTCATCTTATTTCTGTTTCTGTATTTTTTTACTAACCTTAATACAGGATAACAGACATTACATATAAATTAAACCCTATACTATCATGTGATATTTGTAATAACTTACAAATGTTTTAAATGCGGATTTTTAAAAAATTTCACAAAAAATTAATTTACACAAAAAAAAGAAAATCTTTCAATCCTGATTTAAAATATCACTAAATTACAAAAAAAAAAAAAGAAGGAGAAATACTCATTTACAAGACAAATATATATCCCAAAAAGAAAACACCCATTGGACATTTATGTATTTAATCAAAGCTACTCAAGAAGAACAGCGCAAGAAATATGGATTGTGGTGTTGGGGTAACGGTAAGACTGTTTCATTCTTAATTAGATGTTTTAGATTTTAGCCTTAGGTTATGTTAAAAACGTTATTTTCAAATGAATCATACAGTGCATTTCAAATTTAATTGAGACTTTAATGTAAGTTTAAAACATCGAATGACTAAACAACAAAGAATTGTGCGTGAAAACTAGAAGAGCAACGATTTGGTGGGTGAGACATCATTCTCACTCGGATTTTATTTTAATGAATTTAAGCTGATAAGATTTTCAAAAATGCCAAATTTTACATCAATACATTAATTAACGTTGAAATAACGTCCACAAATCCCTCTTGTGATACCAAACAAATAAATGATTAAATGTTAGTTAAGAACGCAATGAACGTTATAATCAACTTTAAAGTATTCCCAACACTATTACCGGAAAATTAGGCAATTTTAATTTGTCAAAATGTACACTATATCATTTAGGTTTAATTAAATACCTCACTTCTTGATATTAAAGGACTAAATAGTCCATTGTAAAAATCAAGATTTTGATAACGTACAACTTATTGAGAATATGACATGACACACAAACAAGTTATAATTAGTTTACTAAGGACATGATCCTAACTAGAAAGATATAAAAGTTGAGAATATGTTCGAATAGAAAGTTACTAGATAGTCGAGCGTTATTTAATTTTTTTTTATTAATATTAATTATTTATTAGTATATGACTCTCCTACTATACATTGTATTCATTGAATTATCATTACCTGTCTTAATTTCTTTTACTATATTGAGTATATTGTTGTTATTTATTAGAACGAGTTAAATATTAATCATGATCTTTTGAAAACAATCTTACTATCTTATAAATTTGAAGTAATTAGGATCTACACACTACTCTCCTTCGGACTAGACTGAATATATTATTGTTGTTTGTAGATCAAGTTAATTTATAAGACTTCGAAATAGATTGACTAATTCAATAAGTAGACAAATTACACCTCGTGTAGGTGGTTGTTTTCTTTTTGAGAGCATGAACACAAGTCACAATTTCAGTCTCTGCTAAAGCAATTGTGTGTCTGATCTCTATTCATAAATAACATTTCCACGTAGTTGCATAACTATGTAATTATTACTTCACGAGATTATAAATGCTAATATAATCAAATCTCTCTATAACGATATGATTGTTTGCTTCATTATTTATTATTATTGTAGCGAGACATACCGATTATAAAGAATATGTAGTATATATTATATATTATAACATAAAATTAGATCCTTTACAAATATGTTTAATAATACTGGGAGGGGATTTAGCTTAATCAGGGTGTATAATATAAGATTAAGAAATGGACAAACATAAATTGGAGACGTTTCAACGACCAATAACCACCATCAACGGCAGGTTAGTAGGGATTTTATTATATGAAGAAAAAGACAGAAAAATAACAAACAAAATGTTTTGCATGGATGGGTCCATTTCTGCCGACAAGTTTGTCTTTTCTCTATAAATTGCTCTAACCTCATGCATTTACAAAATACAAAGCCATGCAAATTGTTATAATTCAATTACTTTGAGCCAATATATTGACTTATTTATTCATATATTTTTGGCATTCGTATTAGCCATGATCATTTCAAATTCATGTCGCGTAGCGTCTTGTTCAAGAGAAAATACTTTTATTCAAAGAATTTTTGTATTTGATATTCGAATTTGAGACTTCTTATTAATAGAAGAGCAATCTCAATATACTGTATCACATTTTTAATAATATTTATACATTGATAAGATAGAGTAAATAATTTTTTTTTCATATTATGTCACCTTTGCTCGGTGACAATAGTAATGTTTTTTTTTTAAATTACAAATTTCACCTCCCTAGTTGTAAATCTATAAATGACCTGCATAATAATATATAAAACAAAATTAACTTATATATATATAGGGAGTGTAATTTTCTTTGCATCATTAGATTACTTTTACTTGTTATAGTAATTTATATGTGTCTTATTTTTAAAATTTCATTATACATTTAAAAAATGTTCACTAATAAATATAGTATATTTTCTATAAATGTTAAGAACTAATTACATTTTACTATATTTATTTTTTAAATTACAAAACTTTCTTAAAATTTAAGGATTTAGATATATCACTCAACATTCTAATACATCCCATTCAATTTTGGATAGATCATATCAGTCAACGTCTCGACGCATCACGTCCCGATTACGTGTACATCACTTAACATCTGATACATCACGTCCCGATACATTCTTTTCCCGATACATCAATCAACTTTTCTATACATGACATCCCGGTACATTATTTTTGTTGATACAAGACACACGTCTTAGTACATTGCGTAAGAATAATGTATCCAAGAATAAGAGAGTAATTTTTTTGTAATTTTTCAAATGGTAAAGAAAATCTAGAGATAAAGTAAGTTGTATATTTAGAAAATCTTTTGTAAACGTAACTAATTCAATGACCTGGGTAGTATTTAATTAAAATGATGATATTATATATAGTAATATATATAACTTGGCCGGCTCTATAAAAATTAGTTCTTAATGGACATCTTCTGCTAGGGGTGTCAAATGGGCGGGTTGGGTTGAAATTGAAAATATTAAAATGGGTTGAATAGAAATTGGATTGGGTCTTGATCCGTCCAATTTTAGGTTCAAACGGGTTGGATTCAAATGGCCTAAAAACGGGTTGTGTCTTGACCCGCCCAATTTGACCTGATTAATCTCAATAATTTAACATATTGATATTTAACTTTTATAATCACAATTTAAATTGTCACTCAAAATGTTTTGTTAAAAAAGTAATAAATGGATAGGTAAATCATAAAAGATGTTAAATAGATAATAATTCATACCTTCAATATAGAAACATATCTTAATAAAAAGTTTTAAAACGGGTTGAAATTGGAGATGAATTAGCCTCAATTGAAAATTCTCTTTAATTTTTTTAAGCTTGAATGAGTTGAGATTAAACCCAACTCGAATTATCTTGAACCTCAACTCAAATTATCCTAAACCTAACCCTTAAAATTCTGAATGAATTACGTTTGAATTCGCTTTTGACATACTATGCTATAAAATAAATTACTCCTATATAATTAAGGAAATAAAAAGTACATATGTTACCTTGATCATTTGGTTATTTCAAATGGGGAGGGGATAATTTCAAAAAAAATAATCATTTTAATTCCAACTATAGTGCGTTCTTTAATCTTTTTTTTTTCCTGGTAATTCCAATTTCGTCGTCGGCAAAACATAAAAAAGTAATGAAGGACGTAAGAATTCATGTCGTTTTCTTAAATATTTTACTTATTATTAAATCATATATTAGTAGGTGCTTTCTAAAATACTTTTAATTTCTTAATTATTAGATACTAATAATTAAATCATATGATATCCGTCAACTTTGTGGCAATTATTTAAAAAGACAAACCGTGACAAGAAAGAATAATCTTCTCAAAAAACAAATTGGTCACTCATATTATCCCTCATCGTAAAAGTGATTAGGGTTCCAATCGCATGCATAATTGAATTTGAATTAACTTACCTATACTAACAAAATTTTACACTACTATAGATTACTCTTCCTTTTAAAAAACAGTGATCTGGTTTGACTTGACTCAAAGTTTTAAAAAATAAAGAAGATTTTTAAATCTTGTGTATCTAAATAAAAGTTATGTTAAATGTATTAAATTGCACTTCAATATTGTGAATTTAAACATGCCACGTGATAACCTGAAATTAAAATATTACCAAAAAAAGAAAGGATCATTTTTAAAAAAAATTAAAAAAAAAAACTAGATTATTCTTTTTGAAACAAATGAAGTATAAATTATAATGGGTTGTTTGTTGATAATTAATTTCATACATCACGTATAATTACTTGTAACTTGTTACCATATCTTTTAAATAATTTAATCTTGATTGTTTTTTTTTCCACATTATTTGTATATATAAAAGTTAAAACCCCAATCAAAATTAGATTTTATAAATATTGACATTGAAATTTGAAAAGCGAAGTTGAAACGACCTTGACACCATTAACTGAATAAAAAAAATGAAGTGCACGTGGAGGATTAATGTGATGGAAAAGCCAATAATTCATCTACTATATTTTTTTCCTCTATATATACTTTATATTGAGCTCTCCATTTTGCATTAGCAAATATATATTCTAGTTAGTAATATTATTACTACAAATTAAAGAATTTAATTAGTCCAAAAAAAAAAAAGATGGGCTTATTGGACATATCACATTTAGTTATTTTTTCTCATCTAATAATTGTTTTAGTTTGTTTCATTTGTCCAAGCTTTGGTTACAAACCTAAACACTTCAATTTGTCCACCCATGCTACTCACTGGGGGACGGCCGGAGCTACTTGGTATGGCAGCCCCCACGGTGCTGGTAGTGACGGTAACTTCCTCTCTCTCTTTTACGTCTTCTCACGTATACGATGTTTTTTTCCTTTTTTGAGTAATGGTGAAATTTAAACTCTGGACAATTATCTTCTATGATACCATGTTAAAGTCGTGATCATACATTAAATCTATTTTAAAATGTTAAAGCCACTTGAGATAGAAACACATTTTTTATTTCTTAAAGTACTATTTCCAAAAAGAATTAGTTTTTTTTTTCAACACTTTAATTTCAACTTTCTAGTTGACATGTTTAAAATCATAAAATAAAAAAACACTTTAATACATTTGAGATAACTTTATTTAGGACCATAACATTAAAAAATCTAACTGTATTTATTTTCTTAAACTTTATGTCCAGTTGTTAAACTATATCATTCTTTTAAAAGAAAAAGGAAAAAAATGTATATCTCTCACCATTGTGATTCCTCTCACCCCACAAATCCAAACTAATTAAAGCCGTTACCATTGCACTTACTAATCGATTGAAAAATAAGACAGTTTACCTGTTACAACAAGTTATATATATATATATATAGTATTGTAACAAAAATTTAGGTTACCACTATATAATATTTATGGGAGCAGGAGGATCTTGTGGATATGGGAGTGCAGTATCAGAAGCACCACTCTCTTCGTTTGTTACTGGAATCGGTCCATCCCTCTATAAATCTGGAAAAGAATGTGGAGCTTGTTACCAGGTTTTGATCCCCCTAATAATAAATTAATCCTAAAGTACACATTAGTGTTTAATTAATTATGTGTTACAGGTGAAATGTACAAAGAAGATGCATCGATCGTGTTCAGGCAAGGGAGTAAGAGTGGTGATAACAGATTTTTGCCCAGGAGGACCTTGTGTGGCTCAATCAGCACATTTTGACTTAAGTGGAACTGCATTTGGTGCAATGGCTATACCTGGACAAGAGCAAAAACTCAGAGATGCTGGTGTCTTGCAAATACGTTATGCTAGGCATGCATGCATGAAATGCAAATTACTCACATTTTTACTATTGTTTAGTCACACATTTGGTTTTTTTTTATAATTTTCAGGGTAGCTTGTGATTATTCAAGGAAAAACATAGTGTTCCATGTTGATCAAGGTTCAAACTCGGAGTACTTTGCGGTTGTGATAGAATTTGAACAAGGAGATGGTGATCTTGCTAAAGTTGAATTGAAGGAAAAAAGAAGCAGCAGCATTATTAGTAGAGGAAACAAAAATAATTATAAATGGAGGCAAATGCAGCAATCTTGGGGTGCTGTTTGGAAGTTGGATGCTGGCTCTAAGTTACACCCTCCATTTTCTATTCGATTGACTTCACAATATTCTGACCAGATATTAATAGCCAACAATGTCATTCCTACTGGTTGGCAGCCTGGTGCTACCTATCGATCCCTCGTCAATTATAGAGTTTAAGTTTTATGTATCGATCCCCAGTATCTATAGTCGATACGTATGTATTTGTCTTGAAAGATACTACTAATCCGCATTTCCTATTGTTCATTCACTACCTGCGGCCGGACTAAAGATGGTCACGTGCTAAGCATATGATGTATGCATGTACTTCTATGAAATTATAAATGTGTGATTTAATAGATTTCGATTGAACTTAATCGAGTATTCACTTTCTGTATATTCATTTCATTTGGTAAAATCCCTAGAGATATAAGTCGTGGTAAAAACATTCAAAATTTTCAAGAGTGTACAAAAAGTAAAAAAAGCATGGACAGCAGCCCACTAGTACAAATTACAGCCCAAAAGAGATGGATAACTAAAAAGAAAACAATTAACAATAATGCATCAAAAAATAGCAAGTCCTTATATATATTGCAGACTCCTGTAAATAATTAAAATTAAAATTTGTTTGAGAAATTGCTATCATATGGGATTGTTGTTGAATCTTCAATATAAACCATTATGCCTTTAGTAGCCTCTGTTGCAGCTTCTAAATATTCCTCCAGTCTGCTAGACACATAATGCATGGTTGGCCTATTAGCAGAAGAGGGTGAGCAACAACTGATTGCTAATCTTACATATTTTTCCACCAATTCACTATCATAGGTTCCATCTAGACTCGGGTCAATAACATCGGCAACATCACCAGTGGTAAGAGAATTACCAACCCACTGAGTTATGTGACAGTTCTTGCTTGTTATTACAGGAGGCTGCCCTGTGATGAGTTCCAAAAGCACGACTCCAAAGCTATAAACATCACTCTTTTCATGCAATTTCTGTAAATGAGCATACCTGCAACAAAAAAAATGGCGTCTTCTGTGAGGATTTGGTTCGTGATAACTAGACCAGGTCAAAGAGTTCTTGTACCATCAACCAATATGATTCACACAAAATTACTTACCATGATCATACCAAATAATGAAATGTACAAGATGAATGATGATTATAGAAAGTACTTACTCCGGATCGAGATAACCGATAGTGCCAACAACTGCAGTTGACACGAAAGAGCTCTCATCTACAGAAAAAGCTCTAGAAATTCCAAAATCGGCAAGTTTTGCATGGAAGTTATCATCTAATAAGATGTTGGTACTCTTAACATCTCTGTGGACAATAGGTGGAGTGCAACCATTATGCAGATAATCCAAACCTAAGAAGTTTTACATACACATAAATTCAACTCGTTAATTTTAGTAAAAAGATAAAGTGAAGACCAAGATAGGAAAAATGAATAGAAACAAAGAGTGATACAATTTTGCATACATATATGGTTTTCTGTTCAAAATTATGACCTCCACAAATCCTTGGACAAAATCTTATCATTATATAATAAATTAGGAAGAAGACACCACGACGCAGGTAGAAGAGGATAGGCAGAACTACAAGGCATTAGGCAACCCGTCTTTTAGGGCATAACATTCAATCTTATCTAAATATATGCTAGCTCCTCCAAGGCAAGAAACTGGACATGACTTCATCTTGATGGAATATACCAAGTTAAATCTTCTATTTTAGAACCACAACGTAGTGAAGTAGGCAAAAATTGCTACTAGGGTCTGTCTCAAGGAATTGGCTTTCTTAAGAATAAGGATTCCCTTTCTAAGCATGTGAGACATGCAAGAAGTTGAGAAACTCAAACATAAGACCACCACAACCAAAGATATTTGCTTACCTTCTGCTCCATTCAGGGCCACCTGAAGTCTCTCTATCCAAGTCAATGATTTTGGACCTATACATCAGCAAATTAAATTGTTTTAATACATTCCCCTGAGCACTAGAAATTGCGTTTTATATGTTGAACATCAAAACAAGCTGATGAATTATTTAGACAACAATTTATGGTTGAACATCTCCAATTAACAGAACATAAAGATAAAAATAGTAGTATTTCTCTTTCAAGATTTGAAGTCACGTTGGTTATGAAACAGATGGAAACTAACTAATCAAAAGAAAATGAAATATCTTTGAATAACCACATATCCATCTGTTTGTCCATGACCAAATATTTTTCATGTTGATGTCTTAATGGAAAGAGAAAAAAACAAACCTTACTAATTAGTTAGTGAGATGAGTTTAAACAGATAAAGAAGACTAAAGCATGAAAATTGCCAAATTCTCACCATTGAGATGCTCCTTTACAGTCCCATTTGCCATGTACTCGTACACAAGCGCCATGTAAGCACCTTCATAACAATACCCAACAAGTGAAATCAAGTTTCTGTGATGAACTCTTCCCAATAGCTCAGCCTACAAAATCATAGACATATATGTGGAATTAGTTTTAAGCTTTCGGTAAGTCTATACAGATCCTACAAATTGTTGTTATATATAGTGAGAGGTCCTAAAAGAGTTCATGAATTCAATAGGGCCAAGTTTGAAACCTCAATTTGAAATTCCTTGTATCCTGTCTCAGCAAGCATCTTCACAGCAACTTCTTTGTTGTCCAAGTAACCATGGTATACTAATCCAAATCCACCTCTGCCTAAAATCTTCTCAAAGTTGTTAGTCATACTCACTATTTTAGTGTATGAAAAACGTTGGCTTCTTGAGTCAAAAGAATCAACCCTTTTATCCCCTGATCACAGTAGCATTGTCCTAATTTAGTGTGAAATTCTTCATCTTGAGTATGATCAGACTAAAAGAGACTTTCACACCGCATACCTTTGCGTTTGGTGAAGTAATAGATGGTGATTGCCACAATCAAGAGCATCAACAGTACAGCTACTGATGCAACTACTGGAATAGAAAGCTTCTTTTTTGTACATTGAGCTGATTGACACTGATTCTTAATGAGGGGTACGAATCCATCCATGCTGTTGAAAGTAGGTGTGTTACTCCAGCATAGGCTTAAAATCAGAAGTTACATAACAATCTCTCCATTTACATTAATGAGATATTCAGTTAATTGAACCAATAAAAATAGATGTACAAACAGCAAACTATTTCTGAACTAGAACAACATTGTTAGACTTGGCACTTGAGCAAGAAACCAATCCAAGCGGAAGTTCATTAGCCCCTACGAGGATAAATATCTCCCTCTGCCTGAATGTAATGCAGTCAGAAGCACCAGAAGCACACTTCAAAATAAAACGCTGTGCATAAATGCTGCTTGAAACAGATGTCATATAAGAACACCTACTGCTGAGTACCTGGCTAGATTTTCTCTTTATAGTTTAAAATATTTTGTTATTGACTTAGTTGTACGTGTGGCACAAGCATAAAAAATTGGTAGGACTAGCCTTGGGCGTGAATTCTTCTTTGATAGAAAGAATGGGACAAAAGATAAGTAGAACCATATGATTCACAGGTTCAGTCTGATCTTTTTTTTATAATCGTGGTGACTGGTCCAACTTATGTACACCTCAACTAATTCTACGGGATACTTGTCACCTCTCATGGGAAATAGGTATCAGGTAACTCCATCAACCAATGCTAGATAGAAAGAAATTGTCTTATGTTTCTGTCTCCGATGAAATTTGAACCATAGGCCTTACAATTCTCCACCACTTCATTGACTACTAAGCCACACATTTGGGTGCTACATGTTCAATCTTATCTTCTCAATCTAAGGATCTCAAAATGGAAGAATTCACCTTGTTGGTCTCCTGATTGCATCTCCAGTCTACCAGGCAATGCTTGCAAAGCCACATAAGGCAAATTAAGTAAAAGCCCTTGAAAATTGCAAGGAGGAAGTTAAGATTTACGGTTACCAAATCAAAAGCTCTCTAGTTCAAGATTGACTGGCATAACTAACTATTAATATTGTCATATATTTCCTTTTTTTTTTGGTAATTTTAGACCATTTCTTGATTTGTGTGTGTCATTATTGAGCAGGAGCCATGCTAATATTCTCCCTTTCATTCAATTTTATCGGATGTTCTGGAAGGGACCAATAAAATATATTTCAGGTAAGGTTTAAGTGCCCCTATATACATCCTTGTAAGGCACACAGGCTGCATAAATTGTAGTCTTCATGGTTGTGAATGGGTAACCATGGCTTGCAGAATATAAAGATGAGTATTGCTACATGCATTTATAAGAAATTCACATTAAACTTACTGTAGTTTCCGGTAGATAATATGTTTTAGTGAGTTCTACACATTACTTGACGATGTGTACGACATATTATCTACTGAAAATAGAGCTTTTCACAAATGACAATACAGACATAGGGAAGATTATCATTCTCCACGTTTAAACTAGTGCTAGCTATTGATATGCTTGATATGGAAACTTATCACATACCTGAGCAACAAGGTTTCATTATTCGCCTTTTCAGCAAGTCCAAGAGGAATTGAACCCCAGAACTTGTTTCCAGTTAAGTTTCTGCCAAAAAAACAGAAAACATACTTTACTCATTTGATCATTCTAATTGGGCGAATAATCATAACCAAGAGGAAGAAGGAGTTACAAATAGAACGTACAAGAATCTCAAGAACGCAAATCCAGCAAGAGAACTTGGTATTGGACCTGTTAAATCATTGTCCGACAGATCCCTGAGATTTTCAAAATCAGTTCATTCTCTTTTTGGTCAATTTTCATAAGTTTTAGTTTTTCAGGTTTAAAGAAGCTTACAAGTACTGTAAAGCAGTTAGATTTGATAGAGAAGATGGAATGTCCCCACTTAATCCACTGGAGGACAAGTCCCTGGAAAGAGGTTGAAACATTTCGCATGGTGAATTTAGAAGAACTTAGAGGTACATTACTTTGAAAGAACCTTGAAGAGACCTTATTCCTCAAGCATATTATTCTGTCAATGCACAATATATTGGACAACTCAAATGATATACAAGAATTCGAAACATACAAGCCTATAATTCTTGTGGAATTGCTGGAACTGTAATTGCAGCGAAGACCTTCCCATGTGTAATCTTTTGGCAAGCATGGATCTCCTTGCCAGTTTTTCTTTACATCATAAGTTCTCTTAATTTCCATGATTGCATCAACTACACTCCAAGAAAGTAGAGTAGGGACATTAATAAAAGAGAGCATAATTATAACTTAGAATGCTAGATTCTCATAGCGAGGCACTTCGAGTTAGCGAAGCATTATAGTAGCGCCGAAGCGAACATAACTCTTTGAAATTGAACACAGTAGAATCAAATTCTTTGTTAATAAACTCTTCGGCATATCAAATTATGCACCCACAGGGAATAAC